CCCAGCATTTCTTAGAGTCAGTCAGGCCCTGTGCAACCCCAGGTCCCCAGGAGCATCAGTGTTCTTGCCTGACACCCTCCCTGTCTTAAGCATCTCAAGCACCATCTCTGAACACCTTTGGGTTTGAGATGAACCCAGGAGAAGCTCACTGGGTTTTCCCAGTGTCAGGCTGGCTGCTAGGCATTCTGCCAGGCCAGGAAAGAGCCAGATGCAAGGGGACAAGGGCCTCGATACTCCCAAGCAGACCCGAACTCCTCCTCAGCCCGACATCCGGGAGCCCGAGGATGGGGAATAGGGGGGCTTTTGGGACTGGGAAGTTGGGAGGCACTGGATGGAACAGGGCCCCAGTGAGAGTGTGTGGGCCCTGATTCCCCTTTCAGAGTGATCGGGGGGGGGGGGTTCAGGGTGGCTAGAGAATGATCTGGCCCCTAAGGCCTGGGTTTCCCAATTCCTGGAGTAAAAATCTGGCCCAGGGCTGGAATCAGAATTATCTTTCACCTATGGTGACAGCCAGGGACAAGAGGTTTTCCTTACGTATGCCCCCACCCCTACCAGATTTTCCCAGCTGCAGAAAGGCCCCTGAAGCCCTCCAGGCCACCGCCGGGGAGCCAGGTGGGGGTCCAGGGCCACCCATCCCAGCAGTCCCTCTACCCTCCTCTCTTTGCAGCTCTAGAAACATTGGCTGAACTGGGAAATGCAGGGGTGGGGCTGGGGACACTGGAGCAGAGTTCAACACCCCCTCCCCTAACCAGCTTCCCCCGACCTGGCTTTTCTGTCCCTTCCTGTTTTGTGGGCCAGAGGTCGGTGGCACTTGGCTGTCAGAAGGCCCCTCCTTACCCATGAGGCTTGCTGGTGTGCTTTGGTCCTGACCGGGGCTGTGCTGGTGCTGCAGGCAGGCTGTGCCAGGAAGGGGCAAAGGGAAGGAATTTATACAACCAACTGGGGGCGGGGTGGGGCAGGAGGAGGGCCTGGGCTGCAGCCCAGAGTGAAAGAGTGAAAGACACGGGGCAGCTGGCCAGGACGCTCTCAAATGGCTCGGGAGGCTACCCGGTGTTTGAGTTACTGGGTGTGCGCACTGGGTGTGTGTGTGCAGATACGCGCTGTGCCTGCGCACCCATCTCTTTTGTGGGTGCCTGGGCATATGTGACTTTGTGGGTCTGCGAATGTGCATGGTCTCGTATACTTGTGCGTTGCCTGTGTGTGTGTGTGCGTGTCTTTGCGTGTGAAAATGTGCCAGCGTGAGTGTTGTGTTGTCTGGACTTGGGCACGTCTGTGTGTCCTTGTGGGAGCCTGTGCCTGCCAGGGTGTTTACGGCTGTGTGTGTGAGTGTGCGTGAGTGTGTGTGTCTGTGTGAGCGTGTGTGTGCATGTGTCCCTGCCTCTAAAGGCTCTTCTCTGTACTTGGATCTGTTTCTCGCCATGAGGGGCACCCCGGGCTGTGGGCCCACTTGCTCCTATCCACAGCCAGGGTCAGCTCTCTCCTAAAAGGACCCTCTCATTCCAGCCATCCATGCTCCAAAAGGCACAACCTTACCCACCCCCCAGCTGCTCACCCAGGTCTTCCTGCCCTGACAGGAACTAGGGTTTAGAATATCCAGGTTTCACTTTCTCCAGACTCCTGTATTCCCCTTGAGCTTTTTTTTTTTTTTTTTTAAGAT